TCTGATTGTTGTGCAGGTATTGTTTCTGATGAACTTTCTCCTTCTCTAAATTGAAAATTTTGTTGATCTGTTTCATTTTGAAATAAAATAGAAGAAGAATTAGTATTTGAAGACAAAGAATTTATTGGGGAATAATTAAATGGAAAGGAAGAAAAGAAAGGAAAACGTAAAAATGGATTAGTAAAGAAAGGAAAAGGAGGTAAAATAATTGAATGATTATTTAGTAAATTATTTGAAGAAGAAGATGAAGATGTTGAACTTTCTTTAATTGTTTGTTGTTCTGTTAAATTTTGTTGTTTTTCCTTTAGAAAAAAATTTTTTATTTTTAATTCAAATTATTTATTTTTTAAAACCTTTTTATTATTTTCTCCTTCATTTATTAAAGTTGTTTTTTTCTTTCTTTTATTTACTTGAAGTCTTGTTAAATTATTGTTATATTTTTTCTGGGTTTCAGGCTCTAAAATTTTAATTAAAAAAATTATTTTTTTTGTCTCAATATTAATTAATAAAAAATAAAGAGTTTTTGGTTAATCCAAATTGCCATTTTTATTTATTTATTTAACTAAGATATTAACTAACTAATCTCGGTCAATTGGGGATTATTTATTCAAAAATATATATTTAAAGATTAAAAAAAGAAAGGCTTTTTAAATATTTAAAAATAATATTTTTTGATTTTTAATTGGTACTTAAAAAGGCAAAAATGTGAAAAAGGAAAAAAATTTAATTCTTAAGAAAGTGGCTATACAGTAATCCTTTTCTCCCCAACATTTTCTTCCTCTTCTTTTAAACAATAAAAATTTTAAAAAAGTATAGGAAATAAGTCCAAAATTTTCAAAAAATTTAGTGAATATAATTAAATTTTTGATTTACCCTTAAATATAAGATAAGCATTTATTTTCTGATAATTTAAAAAAAATATTTTTTCTTACCGTTATTTAGTCCATACTTTTTATTTATTTTTTCTTTTTCCCCTTCTTTTATTAAAACATTATTATTGTTAGATTCTTTTGTTGTTGTTGTTGAAGATGCTTCTTCTTTTGTACGTCTAATTAATTCAAGAATTTCAGAAGCAGATTCAACACCAAGAATTAAACCTAATTCTTGCTAAAAAATAAAAATAAATCTTTAAATTTGGAAAAAAATTGCAAGATGCGTTAAATTAGTGGCCGCTTTTCTTTTGGTATCAAAAAATTTTTTCAGAGTGTCGGGAATCCATGAATTGAATTTCGTTCAAAATCGAAAAAGTTATAGCGAAAACGGCCGTTAATTTGCTACACCCTGTATTCTTTTTTACAGCTTCTTTTTCATCTTGTGATTGTTGTCTTCTTAAAGCTACTTGAGCAGCCATCACTCTTTGACGTTCTGCAATAAGTGTACATTTAGCACATGTACAATCCTTCCACGGACAGCTACGTTTATGGCCTTTTGAAATTTTTGTTTAGAGGAAAGTCAGAGAATTTTTGTTATTTCTTAAAAATTACCTTTAAGTACAGAAACAGCCCCATGATTGCGACACTAAAAATTAATTTAAACAAAACAACTTTTCTATATACCCGAGCGCATTTCGGTGTTCTTTGAACACGTTCAGCACGTAAACGAATTAAACGTTCTAATTCTGTACTATTAACTACTGAATTATTAGAAATATTTTTTGTTGAATTTTGTAAATAATTAATTCCGTTTTCATTTTCTTCTTTCATTTATTAATTTAAAAAATAAATTAATTAAATAATACTTTCTAGTACACAATTAATTAAATGCTTAAATTAAAATTTTAAGAAAAAATGAGAAAGAAAAGAGATTTGGGTGGGAAGGAAAATATTAAATAAATATAACCCGCCCCTACATTTATCCTTTTTTTAATTTTTAAATAAAGAAAATATGGCCAAAATTTTAAAAATTATTTTTTCAATATATTTCTACTTATTTACATATTCTAAATATAAAACAATAAACATCTGTTGTTAAACAATATATACTAAGTATTTATTAACAAAAATAATACCAAGCCTTAATTACATAATTTTAGTCAAAGTCCATTCATTTACATTTCTGTAAAAAATTTCTTTTTCATAAAAACTTTTTTAAAAAATATTTTTTGAAAATAAACTAAGTAAATATAACTTAAATTTTCTTATTATGAATTTCTTTGTGGTTGTTATCCTAATAAATTCTACGATAACTAAAAAATAATTATATAATATTATTTTGTTTTATATAACATTTTATCGTCCCACTTCAAACACAATTCAACAATTTTTTTAAAAAAGCCTAGAAAATATTTGTACAATTCAAAAAAGTCTTTAAAGAAGCTGATGATTATAAGTTTATTATTTGCTTTTATTTTGTATAAAAAGGCGGAGGAAGATTGGTGTGAAAATTAAAAACAACACAAAAACTCATTCAAAGTCAACACAAAAATTCTCTTTTTTTATTCAGTTGCCATCATTTCCTCTTTCTATGTCCCCCCCCCCCTCCTATTTAATTTGCTGCTTCCTACTCAAGTATTTTTAACTCTCGATGGCCAACTTTTTCCCTTCTAAAACATTATTATTAAACAAAAGATGGATAAAATTACAAAATGTGAAAATGTAATCAAATAAGAAAATTGTAAGAAAATTATATTTTTCTAAAATATTACCCACTTTTTCAATTAGAAAATAAATTTTGTAAAATTTTGGAAAATGTTTCTAAAAAATATTTTAAAACCCGTGTTATATTTTTATAATTAATTTATCGAAGAAAAGCAAAGAAAATCAAATATATAGACAAAATGAATAGTACAGACAAAATGGCAATCACAAGGTGTTTGTTGAGCAATTAAATAGGCTCGGAATTTTGTGTAATGTAAACTTAATAAACATTTCAAATGTGTTAAGGATATATGGGAAAATTAAGGTAATTATTCATAGAACCCTTTCAAGTCCTGGTAGTTTTTTAAAAGCACAAAATTCCGGCTCTCAGATTAGGGTAGTGGAAGAGTGTGAGGAAAAAGAATTAGAGATCGGACTAGGAAAAAAAGAATTAAATTTGGATTTTTCTTCATATGTAAACAATTAATTTAAGTCCAATCTCCAAAGACATAATATTAAATTAAAATGAATAAAATGAAAAAAATGAGAATTAATTTTAATTAAATTAATTTTAATTTATAATCGTATTAAATCATCATTATTGTCTTCATTTGATTGTGCAGTACCGAGCTCCTTTCCCTCATCAATTGCTATCATTTCAATTTTATCTTCCTCTTGATCCAACCAATGATGTATACGCGAACGCATCTAAATTAAAATTAAACAATTCAATTTAAATTTTCATTTTCACTTCTCTTCGTTTCTTTGGGTTAAACTTTTTAAGTCTAGCCACAACAAGACGTGCAAAAAGGCAATCCTCGTCTTCATCCTCATCTAACATTGTTGACGTCTCAATTTCTTCTAAACATGCTTTATCTTCAACATTGTTGCTATTATTATTTCCATTCATGCAAAAAGAAGCAATATCAAATTTTTTAATTTTTGATAATTTATTGTTGCAGTTAATGTTAAATTTGGATCGGCCACGTTGTTGATTTTTGTTAACTTTGCTATCCCCGACAAAACCACGACGGATCATAAATGGCGAATTGCGAAGACGAGAACGTGATTGAAATTCGGATTGTTTCTAATTTAAAAAAGTTTATGATTTAAATTTTTAACAGTACTATCCGACCATCTTAACGAATTTGCCTTTCAACTGCCTCGCTTCTTTCTTTCTCTCCCCTAAAATCAAAAAACGCTCAAAAGTCAAAATTATGGTTTTCGAACCAAACTGAAAAGCAAGGAGAAAAGAAAAAGCGGGAAAATAATCGGATAAAATGTTTTTTAAACTACCGTATTTGCTCTAATTGAATGACTCCTCTATTTGAATGACCCTTCTAATTGAATGACACATTTTTGGGGCTATTGAAAAATAAAATGACCCGCTCTATTTGAATGACCCCTCTAATTGAATGACCCTTTTAGAGGTCCCTAGAAATAATTTAGTAAAAAATGCTCCTTCGGTATTTTTGAGGCTTGACAGTAGGTAATCGAGTCTGCTGAGTCCGAATCTCAACTTAGAATTTGTTTATTTCAGATCCCGGACCAAATTCAACTAAGTCGAATTCGGGGTAAAAATTCATAATTAGATGTTTAGGGGGTACATTTTGGTTATATCCCACCATTTTCCTTTTTACTAAATTTGATCTGGTTATAACTTTTTTATTATTAATCCATTCCAAATGAATCTCACTTCATTCAAATGCCCTCGATAATCACTATCTTTTAGCCAACTTATTGATAAAGTTTGATCACGTAAGAAAAAGTTACAAGTCGATATTATTGAAAAACAACGATTTCTTGCACTTGTCGACTTGTAACTTTTTCATGCGTAATTAAACTTTATCAATAAGTTGGCTAAAAGATAGTGATTATCAAGTGCTTTTGAATGATATGAGATTCATTTGATTGGATTAATAATAAAAAAGTTATAACCGATCAAATTTGGTAAAGAGGAAAATGGTGGGAGATAACCAAAAAGTACAATTTAGGGCAAAGGTATCTTACTCAGCTCTTCAAGCTCAGTTGATGGTACCGAAATTACTATGTTTTGATAATTATTAGGTATTCTATTAAAAGTTTTAAACTTTACTTAGATTAATTTTATTGTTTATGTTCGAAATAAACTCGTGTCAGGAGATATTTCGGCAAATTGTGTTTATTCTAGTTGTGTTTATGCCCGAGTGTTAGGCGATTTATCATTTGAGAATGGAATTTTTCGATAAAATTATTTCAACTTTTTAATAAAATTTAAAATAATTGATTTCGAAAAATAGAATGACCCGCTCTATTTGAATGACCTCTCTAATTGAATGACAAATTTCTGGGGTGTTGAAAAATAGAATGACTGTCATTCAATTAGAGCAAATACGGTATTTTCCTATAGTAAGGAATTTAACATATAAACATTTAGATTTGTAAATTCACAGACAGTGCAGAGAATTTAATGCCTTGCCGTTATTTATGTACTTGTTAAATGACATAAAAAATATTTTTCTTACCTTATCTGTTGCCTCTCCATTATTACCATTAACATTTCGAATATTAGCAAAATCAGTATTTTCACCTCCAGCCAGCCCAATCCCTTCAATATCCTCATTTCCATCATTTAAATAACTATTATTATTTTGTTGATCTCCAATACTCTCATCACTGTTTGCTGAAGAGGAGGCAATTGTAGCATTATCAGATAATAAATCATTATGTAATTGTTGAATATTCAAATCATTATTAGAAATTGCTGAACTTGTAGAGACATTTTCTTGTTTTTCTCGTTGTTGTCTCTCTAAAAATTCTCGACTTGCTGCCATCAATGTTTCTAACAGATTAACGGTTGGTGAAGGGAATTGGAGTTGGTGATCTATTTACATTATTAATTAATGCCTAAAAGAATATTAAAACCTAATAGAGGTGAGGGTTAAAGAAAAAATAAAAAAAATTTTGGAATTAAAAATAAATTATTTATTTATTTTAAAATAGCTACCATTATTATTTTCGGTCCCGCCAAAAATTCCATTCAGTCCATTAAAATCCTGTTGCTTAGAAGCGATCCCAAACTCAGCAATTAAATTGTTTTGTTGTCCTAACGGCGAATTAGACGCAGAATCCACTTTCCTTTAAAGAAAAAATTATTTTAAATAATTAAATTGTCATCACTTTGCTCCTTTCAAATAAGGATCGAGCCACGAAAGTTTAGCAAAATATGGCCATTTCGGTTGAACAGAGGTTCGAAGTGCCATCTTCAACTCCTTTCTATAACGATCGCGCATTTGAAGCCAACGTTTTTTCGCAAATTCGCCGTTTACAGTTTCGTCAATTCTTTGGGCAATAACCTCCTAAAAGTTTTTACTTATGTAAAAATAAACGAGAAATTTACCCAAATAACGTTCCTCTCTCCATTATCAGTGCAAACACGGTGCTGTTGATTGTAAAGTTGAGGGTGGGCTCTAACCTGAAATTTCAAACAATATTACAGATCATACAAAATATTAAATAAAAATAACTTCATTAATTAGCAATTCGTTAAATGTTGCAGGATGTTCAGGTCTTTGCTGTTGTGATTGTTGCATATTAAAGAATAATTTAATTAAACCTATTATATAGTATATTAATTAGAATTAAATCTAAAATTTAAAAAAATACTTTTAAAGCTAAAAATAATAAGAAAAAAATATTCAGTAGCTTTATAGTTAAAAAGTGTTTTCTGGTAAATAATAACAGAAATACAAGTGGCAATGCAAAAGCGCAACCAATAAATATGAAGGCTTTAACGGATAGCTAGTTATTTGCTAATTCTGGTAGTAAATAGTAGTTAAACGCCTGCCTCATTCATTCTGATTTAATGTTTTGCTTTATCGGAGGAAAAGGAAATGGGTATCAGTTGAACGAACATAACCGGCGGCTGGCGAGAAGAGGTCGCCTTTCTTCGTCCCCAACATAAGCATCCAAAATAATCAGTAATAGCAGCCGTTTAATATGCCTATCCGTCCAATCAAAAGGAATGACTGATTCTATCTTCCATCGCATTTTGCACATTAAGCCTGGCAGCTTATCAAAGAAAAGCGGGAAAAATCGCGCCTGAAAACCGTTTGGCAAGGGCAAAAACAAGCAACAGCAGTTTTTGCAGCAGCGAATCGGGTTATCTACACCACCTTTCCCCGACAATCTTCCGCTTCACCCGTGACCAGCAGTTCTCTCTTTCACAACTTTTTACCCATCCTTAAATGCTCCTCTCTATTAATTATATTTTTTAAACGTCCTCCAAAAAATAATTTAGCCTTATCATTTTTCCGCTTCACTTGTTACCGACTACCCCTCGAAATTATCCGTTGTATCAAAGCTAATTTATTTTCCTGCTTTTCTCATATAAAGGAGGAAAAGCAACTATGTATTTATCTGCCTATTGTGGATCTTTTTCTAACTTCATTCATGGAACTACCATTTTTAATTCAACATTAGCAAAATAACTGGCTAGATGATGATGACACCCTTACCCCAAAAGGAAGACAGATTAAACAGACCCTCTTCTCGCCTCAAGCTGCTGCCGTTGGGGACGGAAGAGAGGGTTAAACCGGATTGTTAGGTTACACTGTGAAACGAAACGGGAGAACTTCACGCGCGACCATGAAAGGATTGGATTGCTGCATTAAACGAACAGGAAATAGTCTAAAGGTTAAAAATTTAATTAAAAATAGTTAACAATAAAAAGCAAAAAATGAAAAAATATGTCAACATGTATGTTAACTGTATTTAAATAAAATAAGATAATAATAAAACATTTATCAACAAATTATTCAATAAAAATATCAAAAATATTATTAAACTCAAAAGTTCTTTTTAGAAATAAATCTGTTAGAAGTACTCCAGAAATGCTCTAAAAATAAATTAAACAGCATAACAACAAATTGAACCTGTAACCCTTTTACATAAGGCAAAATTTCAAATGAAATTTGTATATTATGCCCAGGTAGAATTGTTGGCAGTCGTTGGCCACTGACCGAACAATGAATAATTGGGCCAACGTTTTGATCAAAATTTAATAACAAATCCAAAGGACGATCACTTAAAATATTTTACTAATTTGAAATATTAAAACCAAAAAAAAACATAAATTTTCAATCAAACCTAACCAATTTGCTTTAAATTCCCGGGATTAATCTGTTGGTTGCTATTTTTGCAAAAATATATAATTCGTAAAAAAATGTGCGAACTTAAAAGTCCGTTATTCAAAGAAAAAGAGGGATTACAAAACGAAATAAATTGAATTAGAGGAAATAGAAATCTTTTTAAATAAAATTTTATTTACCTCCAATTTCTAAGATTACAAACAACAGTCAACATTCCATTTACTTTTGCTTTTTTCGGTGCCCTGTCAACAGTAAGTCTCAAATCCTTGCATATAAATTGTGACCTCTCGATGGTATTAAAAAATGTTCGACCATTATCACCCGTTGTTGATCGCCACACAATTTTTAATCTCCCAAAATTGAGAATTTTCCTCCAATTTTCAGCATCGCATTGTTCATTAGGTGTTAGTCGAAAAATATATTGATGGATATTTTGTAGACCCAAAGGTTCTGAATCGCTGCATAAATTTGAAAATAAAATTAAAATATTGAAAATTTATATATTAACTTGTTTAACGAAGGAAAACCAGTTAATTCATAATTATAAGGTAAATTATTGCCACACTCTTCAAATGTCAAAGACTCGATAAAAATAGGATTAGGAGTTAAATTTTTTATTTGGAACTCATAAAATGTTGTTTTATCCTGAAAAAATAAAATTATTGATGTTATAAAAAAATTTTACATTTAATTCATAAAATGTTTGATTAAGCAAATCAACAGGTTTATTAACAGAAAATTTGAAGAATTTTCGAAGATTTAATTTCTCCTCATTACCTCCAATGTAAGAAACACTGCAAACCAATCTGAATTATTTTTGTATTTTAAAGATAATTTTATTAAATGAAAGTAAGAATGGTCAGGTCATAAATATAAACCGAAGGACTCTATAACGTTGGTTAAAAATAATCCATTTATTTATATAATCTACTATATAACCCGATAATCTACCAACATATGCTGTCCAAGTTCATTTATTTCATGAGAAAATATTTGTCCAACTTGTTGTTTATGTACCAAACTAACATTACTAAAAGAAGTTTCAGCAATAGAAATTCTCTGTAATTGAGTTTGAATATCAACCTAAACTTTAAAAAAATTAAAAATAAATAATTAAATAGATAAACCTTCATATTTATTTGTTCGCATTTAAATAAAGTTGTGTTAATAATTGCAACATAAAAAGTAAAACATTCACCCAAAAACACATCACTAAAATTGTATAGAATAGCTCTTTAAAAATTAAAAATAAATTTAGATAACTCGTCACATGTGGAACTATTGAGTATTGGCCTGATGGAAGATCGATTAATTGATTACCAGAATTTAAAAAATCTACATCGGAAGGACCACAAAATGATGAAATTGGTTGACTGGGGATTGGTTTTGCAAGACGCATAACTAAAAAATTAATAAAAATATAATTAAAAATCTGTTAGCAAACCTTGAATTGTAATGCCTTGCTCACGTGAAGTTTTTTCTGTCATAATAATTATTCAGAAGTAAAAAGAAGAATGTATTTTTACTCTGTTAAATTGATTTTCTAAAACAAACGGATAATTTTTCCGGAAACGGAAACAAAAAAACCGGAAATTACCAAAATGATTAGGTTCTTCAAAATGGAAACATTTGGGGGACATGTCGAAATGGTTATTTTAAAAATGGTAATTATAATTTGAGTATATTACGTAAGTTATCGAAAAATTATTTTCTTTTGTTTATGATCTTCAATATATTTAATTAGTCATCTTTTTAGTTTTTAGTTGATTCTATTTGTTGACCATTTAAATATTTAATCAAAAAATGAGTTTGTTTGGAAAAATATTTGGTGAAAAGAATAAAAAGCCGGAAATGACAACACCTGAAGCTCTTCAGAAAATTGCTAATATGGAAGAAATGTTAATTAAGAAACAAGAATTTTTGGGCAAAAAAATTGAAGAGGTTTGTAAAATTATGTTTGTTGAACCTTGAGCTTTCCTAGGGAATGACTAAGTTATTGCTATGATCTCATATAAATTAGTAAATTCTTTCCACTTGTTTTCCAACTCAAAAAATAAAAATACCAGAACATTAAATTTTTGTAAATAGTGTGTGTTTTATCTTGTTTGGCCTTTAAAATTATTTCCATTTTATCCCTTTTATCATTTTTGATATTTGGAGGACGAAAAGTGGAATGGGAAAGTAAAATGTTAGGTAGTTGAAAGTACCAAATTTTTTAAAATTTAATTCTCGTCATATTTTTAGTCTATCGCGACTGCAAAGAAGCATGCCACCACTAATAAACGGGCGGCTCTGAAGGCTCTTAAGGAGAAGAAATTTCATGAGAAAAAGCTGGAAGAAATTGAGGGTATCTTAAATACGATCCATCATCAAAAAAGCTCTTTGGAGAATGCATCTTTGCATTCCGAAGTTTTTGGTGTCTTGACATCTACTTCTGCAGCTTTGAAGAACATAAATAAAGGAATGGATGTTGACAAGGCTTGTTTTTTCCTGATTAGTATATTGTTAGGAATGAATTTTTTTAGGTTCACGATATTATGGAGGATATTGCAGAGAGTCAGGAAGTAACTAATGAAATTACTCAAGCAATTTCCAATCCGGCCGGACTACAAAATGATATAGATGACGACGAGCTGCTCAAGGAACTTGAGGATATACAAGAGGTTCAGTTTTAATTAGCTTAAAACTTTCCCTATGTCGAGTTGAAAATAAAATATGAAAAAATAACCTTGCTGGCACTAATAGAATTCATTTTTATATTTTTCAGGAGGAGATCAATGAAAAACTTCTTGATGTTGGTACAATCCCTGCTAGTAGTGTGACCGATAAACTTCCAGATGCGCCAAAAGACAAACCGAAAGCAAAGGCTAAGACTAAAGAGGACGATGATATGGCTGAGTTGGAGGCGTGGGCAAGTTCTTAAGCGGGATTTTGTTCAGCTTTTAGACTCGAATTTTTGCGATCATTTTATGGACTGCTACATAAATGTATATATTTTTAAGCAATTTAATTATATTATGGCCTTGTTATATATTTATGTAGCAAACGACCATAATCTACAAAAAATAATTATATCACGTCCTGCTCGATTGATTTATAAACATAAATTTATTTGTAAATTAAAATAAATTTTAATCCAGTACATTGTATTTTTATTTAGAGGATCTAGTTTTTTCAAATACTCTGTTTTTCCATTCCCTTTCTCTTTGTTGGTGTTGAGAGCTCTTAATTGGGATTTCGTTGTATTTGTTATATTGGTATTTCACGGCCAAATATCTTTCGATAACATCATCATTTCTTATTTCCCTGTCCTCTGTTGAGTAATCTCTATCAGATGCTAATCTGACACTATCGGATTGGGCCTATAATTAAACAATTCCTTCAAAAACTAATTGTTTAAAAATCCACCTTTAGGTAATTCGGTTTGATTGTACATCCATCTTCAGTTATTGAAAGAAGTTCTAACTTTATTTTAGCCCAGCATTCAACCAAATAAGAAAACCATTTTCCTTCGGTCGTTGCAAGTTCACGTTTTGGTAAGGAGTGCAATTTTATACGCAAACGATTTAAAACAGTCGCGTATTCCAATGAATTAGTTTTTTGAGAAAATGTATCTGGAAGTAGAGAAGGTGCATTTCATCAGTTTAGTTTTTATCTTTTAATTCACCTGGTGAATAAATTTCGGTTCTTGTTCTTGGTTTAATTTCTTCCATTAGAATATAATTCACGTTTGATTCAATTTGTTGATAAACATCAAATCCCAAATTAGCAAGTGTCAATCCACCATTTACATTGAAAATAGTTCCGGCAAATATACCATTTAATAATCTCATCCTTTCATTGACCAATAGAGGATGACAGTCTTGTTGCCTTACTCTTTGATGTAGAATGACTAAATTTTGCAAGCACTCGATGCCAGAGTTAATTATAAAGTAAATTACCTAAATTGACGCTTTCACTGACATTCAAAAATTGAGGGAAAAGTTCAACTCGCATTAGTCGCCGAATTATACTCATATCAATAAACCAATCAACACAAAGAAAAATAGTATGACAGACATTTGCAATCAGAAGCAGAAATTGAAGTGACTTAAATGTTTTTGGACATAATTTTAGCCGTCAAACTTTCGAAATTCACCTCAAGCTCCAAGCTCTCCATTGGTCCAGCTCTACTTCTATAGGAATGACTGGTATCCTCTAATAACGGCGCACAGTTCAATGGCTTGAAGGATATTTTTAGTTTTAATGAAAGCAAAGTTACCTGACAGTCTAGAAAAAATACTCTAGTCTTAGGGGCAATATAAATGGAAATTTTTGTTGTCTGGTATCTGCAGGATTCTACGGCTTCTCGTGCACAGGGGCGGAAAATATACTGCCTGTAAACATATTACTTGAACCATTTTAACTAAACTTATGTTAGAAACCTGTACATATCCATCGTATCATTACCAGCCAACATACCTTGAAAAACACATGAAAATTAAACTCCTCAAAAACTTAGAAAAGTAGATTTTCCAGTTCCTAAAATAAAGAATGATTGAAAAACCAAATGAATGAAACAAACCTTGAGATCCAATCGCTCCAACAACTGTATATCTTTTGTTCCCATCACAAATAAATTCCTAATAAGTACCGAGATTAAATTACCAATATACACATTAATCCAACCTTAAACGAGTCGAGCAATTCAAGTTCATCGTCAATTAATTGAATTGAAGCCTCCATCTGCGGGGATCCTAAAACAGATGACGGCGCTAACATAAAAAAATTTTATTGACGTATGTATTATAGTACGAACTTTGAGGCGAACTCTTCTTAATTCGCTCAGTTGAAGTCAATTTTTGTCTTTCGTGCGCAGAATCCTTCTTGACGCTATCAGAACCTTGTTGCGTCGACCCCTGTAACCGTTTAGAGGGATAAGGTTGCTCTTGATCACTCCCATGTTCAGAACCTCGCTGCACAATTTTGAACATTACTTAATTTTTTCAATTGAAAATAAATATGTACACGCAGATAAATTCCTGTATAACCTACATACATATAATAAATATAGCAAATATATTCAAAAAAATTTACTCTGAAATATTTAATCAAATATATTGAATGGTCATTATATATCATTTATTTGATCAACAAAAAATTATTCTTGATTCTTCATAATAAATCAATCAAGTCGGCATTTGAGTGCGTGAGAAGTAACTCCAGTCTGTGTGACCGTATAAACAATAGCACCCCATCCAGTTGCCGCATCACGCTCAATGACTCCGAGCATTACTTGTGCAGTCGCCTCAGTTAACTGTTCAGCGGTTAGATCAGGACGCCAAAAAGCTTAAAATAATTTAAAAGCTTTTTGTTAAAATATTAAAATTCTTACTTTCGCAGGAGGCCAATGCAAATTCATCACCTGCACCTACACATACAAAATCTCCGAACTCTGACATGCCGCCAACAGAGTCCGAGCCAGCAATAAACGGTTTTTTTGATGTTAGATCAATGCCAGCGACCAAGACATTAATTAAATACGGACCAAAACGACGTTGATATTGCATATTTGAAATAAGATGTGCCAAGACCTAAAATCTTATATTCTAAATGAATTACTCTAAACCTTTGGCTTCATCGGGCGATCCTCTTCAAGTTCATACAACGTCTTAGCTTGCTTAATCTTATCCACAAACGTAGCAGTGTCACAATTAAAACCAGTTAGACCAACAAAAAGCTTGTCCCCAATAAGATGGGCCTTAATTTAACAGTTAAATTGTGACATTAGAAGCATAATCAAAATCATTATTTAAAAATATAAAATCCTTTAAGAACCTTCTGAACATTAGTTGCAATAGTACTCATTTGACTGCCCAATCTCAAGTCATTGGCAATGCAAAAACAGTCCTTTCCACGCATTGCAACGACAGTACCTCCATGCAAAGAATAAGGATCTGACATCTCTAAATTAAAATCCAATTGCTAAAAAATTAAAGTTAAATTAAAAATATTGATATAGGTAGTTATATAACAATAGATATGTAAAATGATAAACAAAATTAGTAAAAATGTTTTATATAAATAAAAACTGAGGAATTAAACAATAAAATGAAAAAATAACTCATTTACTAAATTATCCCATCTATTAAAGGGTTCCTGATCTTTCTGTAACGTTTCATTTCCGAAATAGTTGGAGGCTGAAGAACTAACGGCCTGAAATTTTAAAATATATAAAAGTATTAAACGAAATATAACCTCTCTTTATTCTCTGCGATAAGAGAATCACAAGATCTGGGACGATATAAAACTGAAAAACGAGGATCACGTGCAATCTCACAAACTCTAGATTCACTTTGACGTCGATCTCTACCAATCAAAGGGAATGCTAAATGTAAAAAATAAAAAACTAAATACACTGCTCCACATAATTATAAGTCCACCCCTTTTTTCGGGATTTTTTGACTTCCAGTGATCCAAATTTTCTGAAAATTTAGAAACACACCTTTTAGTGAATAACTAACAAGATGTGAATCGATTTTTGGCTGATTTTTTATTTAAAAAATTTTTAGAGCAAAATTTGCATTTTCGGCCTCCACAAAATTATAAGTCCACTTTCCAAAAAAGTTAGTTCCAACAATAGGAAAAATCTACAAAAATTCCAGTAAACTTATATATTGATATTATAAAATATGAAAGAGAAAGTAGGTCCATATCGTTACCCTAAGCCGAGATACGGAGACCCCGAAAATCAACGTAAAACGGGAGTAAGGCTCTTTTAAAAAATTTTTCGACCCCTTATGGACTACTGTAAATTTTGATTTTGGGCTCATTCGAAAGCCCTTGAAATTTGCTACAAGATAGCAATAGTCTTGTTTTTCAGAAAAATTCCATAGAGAGACACAAGACGATAATCTTTCTAAGCGTCATTATAGGGCATTTTATGGGGCATTTAGACGTTTTTTGCTGCATTAGAAGTTTATCGTCTTGTGTCTCTCTATGGAATTTTTCTGAAAAATAAGACTATTGCTATCTTGTAGCAAATTTCAAGGGCTTTCGAATGAGCCCAAAATCAAAATTTACAGTAGTCCATAAGGGGTCGAAAAATTTTTTAAAAGAGCCTTACTCCCGTTTTACGTTGATTTTCGGGGTCTCCGTATCTCGGCTTAGGGTAACGATATGGACCTACTTTCTCTTTCATATTTTATAATATCAATATATAAGTTTACTGGAATTTTTGTAGATTTTTCCTATTGTTGGAACTAACTTTTTTGGAAAGTGGACTTATAATTTTGTGGAGGCCGAAAATGCAAATTTTGCTCTAAAAATTTTTTAAATAAAAAATCAGCCAAAAATCGATTCACATCTTGTTAGTTATTCACTAAAAGGTGTGTTTCTAAATTTTCAGAAAATTTGGATCACTGGAAGTCAAAAAATCCCGAAAAAAGGGGTGGACTTATAATTATGTGGAGCAGTGTACATAAAGAAAGTGTTAACCTTCCATAAGGGGTTGTTGTCTCTTCGATTTTCTAGTCTTTTTTGTGTTAATATTAGGCGTTGGCTGATAGATAAACATTGAAGGTTTCACATGAGGTGCCACCTGGCGAATTACTTGTTGAATTTGATTCCGTTTATGCTGAATTTGAAAATCATGAAACCAGCATCGAAATGAAGCACGATTTGAAATCGACTAAATAAATAAATAAATTTTTTAAAACGATTTTTTTACCGTTGGAGGATTGACAAGAAAAAGCTCTGCAAAATGCAACAAAAATAATCCACAATCGATATATCCTTTTTGTTGAGGAATAAGGGTAGGCTGGATGACTTGCAGTGACTCCCTTTTAAAGTATTTTCCATCCTTCTTATGTTTGTCAGCATATTCTAAGTGTAAGTACTCACTCAGTTGTTGCCTAACATCGAGATGTTTATCCAGTGCCGGATCGATTAACTTAAAAATATTAAATACAAAAGAAAATAAAAATACCGAATTGAAAACAATAAGAAAAGGTCCGGAGCTATCCGATGGATTATACTTTGCCTCGCCATCCATATCAAAAACGCCAGCATGAGGATTGACAATAATGGCCAAATACCTGAAATACTACATCTCAAGGAAAGGAGTAAATACAAAGAAAAAGCTAGGAAAAAATATTTTTAAAACTAATGTAATAATTTAAGAATTAGCTATTACCAGTGAATTTCTTCATTTATGGGTACGACGACATAATCCTTAGAAAAGATATCAACTTTTTTTGTCCAATTCCTAACTGCTTGAAAATTGAACACAACCTAAAAGACTACTAAAATTAAAGGATTAAAGATAGAAATAAAAAAGATACCCGCTTTATTCTCGTTGCCAGTGTAACCTGCGTTTTTCCATGAGCAGGTGCCTGTGTAAGTCTTTCAAAGAGAAATGAGTTAAAAATGTATATCCGATCCCTCCTGTCTTCAGGGACAAGACTATAAAGATAAATAGATGAGACTAAATTTTATAGGTGAATGAAACCTATAATGAATATATTTGAGGTAAAAGTAAATGATGGTATCATTCAACATCACATCAAGAGCGAGATGTTTAAGATCAGATTTATGTACCGAGCAGGAATCATTAGCATTTTGTGGATACCGAAACAGCACATCATTGAGATATTTTGAGGAACAAGGTTTCAATCCCTAAAAGAAAAAATGTAAACCAAAATCACAAAACAAAGCAGGCAATATAAATGATGAAGTTATACAAAAAATTTACCAATTCCGGTTCATCATCAGACAAATGAATTTCTTCTGTTGGCTTCTGCTTCTTGTTTTTTTGTTGCTGTTTTATATGAACGCGTAATGGTTTCTCTGGTGTAGTAATAATTCCGTCCTGAAGCAGATAACTTGGTTGTGGTTGCTGATTATCTAAATAAGTTAATAATAAACTAAAAGATGCCGTTAATAACCTGATTGCTGATGTTGACGAGATGATTGTTGCTGTTGAGAACCCGTTTGCTGCACTTGATAGACTGATGGATGCTGAAAACTCGAATGAGGAGGCTGTTGAACATCAATTAGCTGCAGATGATTATTACCATTGAAGATATGATCACTTAATACTTTTTTAGAAAGCAAATGTTGAGGAACATTTTTATTCTCAATAATAAATCCTGGAGCAGAATATGTAGTCGCTTTCAGTACAATCGATTGTGGAGGTGTAGGTGGGCGCTGCTGTATGAGATAAGTTGGTTGATGTTGTTGAATAATATTACTATGATTGTTATTTAATCTTCTTGGGTCAGACATGTATCCATGATCGTTTTGCGTTATTGGAATTATCGGAATACGTTGGGAGTGTCGATCATATTTTATGGGAACAACAAGCCCTGAAATTTGAATTTAGAATATGAAGTAATTGGTACTTATTCCTTTACTTCTTGCACAATTTTTTATTGATGTACAAAATGGTTAGTCATTTATTACTTGCATAATTTCAAAAAATTGACCCTTGGCATCATTAATTCAGTCACTCTTCCTTGAATAATTTCGCTTTTTATTTGTAATCGTTTTTAAATATAAAAATAGACATCGATTTATTCAGCATTTCTAATAAGAAGGACAAAATGTGTGAGACAAACATCCAAAAACAGATGTCCGAATTAAAGGAAGAGTGATTAAATTCACAGGGCAATTTTATGAAATTATGCAAATAAGAAATGGCTGACCATTTTGTACATCATAACTGTGCATGGAGGGGAAGGGAATAAGTACCTAGTAGTTTATAGAAACCTGTGTCACTCAGCATACTCAGAAGAACTGACCATTGATTGTGTGAAATTAGTCCTTAAAATAAAAATAATAAGAAAAACAAAGATTTTGATAAAGTACCGACAAATTGAACAGCAATTTCTAATTTAGATTTTTTATTTTTATTCATTTGTTGCACAACGTAATTGTGATGAAAAAGGCTTGCATTGCTAAGAATTTGACGAATATGATGCATATTCTCATAGTCGCAATTAAGAATGTCCAATACAATGAGCCTAAACATATTTTATGTTTATTGTTAGAATAGAAAAATAGCGTAAAAATTCAAGCAATTTTTAGTGTTCTAACAAAAGCTAAATTAAATCACGGTCTTACTTATGTCGTGAATATGAACATTTATAATCCATCAATTTATTGCCTTCCACTACCAAATAATGTTGAAGCTTTTGCATCATAAAATTATTGACATGAAGAGCCAAACCAGCTCCTTTTTGTTCAGAATTATCCATTAACTAATTTTAAATAACTTGAAAATAAAAAAGAAAAATATACCTCCACATTGATGACATGTTTGAAGGAAAGTGACGCAAGAATTGTTTCTCTCCCAGTATCAACAGGTAACATTAAAAATTCACTTGACAATTCAATTTGCTTTTCAGCAGCAATTTTGAATTCATAACCAGATATTATAAGAAATGAACTTTTTATTTTTATTTTATCCATATTTATCACTAAAAATAAAAAATAAAACCAATGATGACAAAAAAATTAAAAGCGAAAAAGAACTTGGAGGATTTTTCATAACGCGTAGGGTTTTTGAAAATTTTTAGAGTAAAATTGATGGAAAAATTTCAATTCACCAAAATTATCTTTCGCCAATGAATGTAATTATCGTCATAATTTTTTATTCTCTTTTTGCGTTTGCAGATGAAACTTTTCATTTATTTTGTTGACGTGGCTGACACAAAATAATTATTAACTTTTTTTAGCAGCTTATTGTTGATTTATATTAAAAGAATATATTAAAATTTTAGTACGAAAATGATGACCTCTGGTGAGCAACCTTGTTATTCGCTAATTAACGTGCCTAATGATGTTGAATTTCCTTCCGAGGCACAATTGAAAGATAAATTTGAACATGGTTTATTTATTATTAAGTTTTTACTATTAGAATTTAGGTGATACGAAAGCGAAGACTGAGGCTTTGAAAAAATTAATTTTAATGATTCAATCTGGGGAAAAGATAAGTCAAAGTTTGATGATGTATGTTATTCGTTTTTGCCTACCATCAACCGATCATTTTCTTAAAAAGCTTTTGCTTCATTTTTGGGAAGTATTGCCAAAGGTTATTTTATTTAATTGCTAATTGTAAAAATAATTTTTAGACAAACCAAGACGGAAAATTATTGCAAGAAATGATTCTCGTCTGTGATGCTTATCGTAAAGATTTGTTACATCCAAATGAATATGTTCGTGGATCTACTTTACGGTAATTTTTCGTTTTTAAATATTTTTATCTTTTTTAGTTTCCTTTGTAAATTGCGAGAACCTGAACTTTTGGAGCCTTTAATGCCTTCTATTCTCAAATGCCTTGAACATAAACATTCTTATGTTCGTAGAAATGCTATTCTGGCTTTATTTACAATCTACAGTATGTCTTCGACATTTACAATAATATCTTAAAATATTCAGAAAATTTTGAATTCCTTGTTCCTAATGCGCCTGAAGTGATTTCTCAGCTTTTGGAATCTGAGCAGGATGCTTCTTGCAAACGAAATGCATTTATAATGCTTCTTCATGTTGATCAACAACGCGCGCTTGACTATTTGTCAGTTTGTATTGATCAAGTCCAACACTTTGGTGATATTCTTCAACTTGTTATTGTCGAGTTAATTTATAAGGTTTTCTTTATTTTATTTTTAAAAATGTTTATTTTATGTTTTTTAGGTTTGTCATAATGATCCAGCTGAGAGGAACCGCTTCATTCGTTGTGTTTACAATTTGCTTCAATCCCAGTCTCCATCTGTTCGTTATGAGGCTGCTGGGACTTTGGTTACATTAAGTTCTGCACCAGCTGCCATCAAAGCGGCGGCTACAACTTATATAGATTTAATTGTAAAAGAATCTGACAACAATGTTAAAGTATTTTTTTTATTAAACTAAATCTCATTTTTTGTTATTAGCTAATTGTCCTTGACCGGTTAGTTGGCCTTCGTGAAGTATTACCAAATGACAAAGTTCTCCAAGAATTAGTTATGGACATTCTTCGTGTGCTTTCTACGACAGATTATGAAGTTCGACGAAAAATTTTGCAACTTGCTTTGGAGTTAGTTTCATCACGTAACGTTAATGAGATGGTTATGTTTATGAAAAAAGAAATTGATAAGACAAATAATGATCAATTGGAAGATACTGGTCGTTATAGGCAATTGCTTGTCCGAACTCTTCACAGTGCTACAATTAAATTTCCTGATGTTGCACAACAAATCTTTCCTGTACTTGTGGAATTTCTTTCAGATCAATCTGAAGCAGCAGCAATGGATGTTCTTTTGTTTATTCGAGAGGCAATACAGCGATTACCACATTTACGACAACATATTCTTCAGTTACTCTTGGTTAATTTATTTTTATTTGATTTTTCTTTTATTTAACGTACTAAAACAAAATTCTATATTAATTTTTAGGATGTGTTTCCATCAATTCGAAATGCTAATATCTTCCGCTCTACTCTTTGGATTTTGGGTGAATATAGTGATCAATCTGAAACGATATCAAAGGTCTTTGAATTAGTCCAAGAATCATTAGGGGAGATTCTAATTGATGGCACAGGTACCTCAGAACTCGAATTAGACAATGACAAGCAAAAAACGAGTGCTACTAAACAGATGGGTGAAAATAAGGTGCATTAGTTACTTTTTTCTTTAATTTTTAAATTTTTAGCCTCGCCAATTAATTACTGCTGATGGAACTTATGCAACTCAAACAGCAATGTTTTCGACTACGACTCAAAATGTTGGTGACAACGATAAGCCAGCCTTTAAAAAACTGTTACTAGATGGAAATTTCTTTATTGCTTCAGCTGTGGCTAACGATTTGGCCAAATTAGTACTTCGTTATTCAGAATTGAACAAAGGTTTTGTTTAAAAAATTATTCAAAATATTTCGATTCATTGCCTTAGGAGTGCCTACAACCGTTAACAAAATTGCTGGCCAGGCGCTTTTATTAACTGCTAACATAATTCATTTGGGCAAGTCTGGCCAATGCAAGCAACAAATCACAGAAGACGATCTTGATCGTTTATCAACAACTATTCGACTAATAGTGGAACAATGGCCCGAGGCTGTCAATGGCTTCCTCGAGGAATGTCGGTTCTCATTAGAGCAAATGCTACAGGCGAAGGGAGATGTTGATCGCCACGAGAATGCTGAAATGAAAAATGCTAAAAAGAAAGTGATTCAGGTGACCCTATTTGTTTTACTGATCATTCGTTTTCATTTAAGCCTGACAAAACAATTATGTTTACTCAATTATCTACACGTGTTTCTGAAGGCGTGACTGGAACAAACCTTTTTGATTTGTCTTTATCTCAAGCACTGGGAACGGCACCGAAACCCACTAAATTTGATTTTGCTACCTCAAAACTTGGTAAAGTCATCCAGCTTGCTGGCTTCTCAGATCCAGGTTTTGATGAGAATAAACAGTTAGGAAAAACAACTTTTTTCAGTTTATGCGGAGGCTTATGTCAATGTTAATCAATATGATATCGTTCTAGACGTGCTAATAGTGAATCAGACTGCCGACACGCTTCAAAATTTATCATTAGAGCTTTCCACTGTTGGAGATCTTAAACTTGTTGACAAACCGTCGCCAGTAACGTTAGCACCACATGACTTTACTAATATAAAGGTATTATTTTTATTAAAATAATTATTTATGATCGATTTTACTCTAAATTAAATTACAATTTTAAGGCAACTGTAAAAGTATCTTCAACTGAAAACGGTGTCATTTTCTCAACAATTGCTTATGATGTGCGCGGCTCAACATCAGATAGAAATTGTGTTTATTTAGAAGATATCCACATTGACATTATGGTTTTATTTTCCTATTTTAATAAATATAATTTTTCAATAGGATTACATCGTGCCAGGGACTTGCACTGACACCGAGTTTAGAAAGATGTGGGCCGATTTTGAATGGGAAAATAAAGTAATTTGAAAAAATATCTTGTCTAACTTTCAAATTTAAGGTTGGTGTTATCACTCCAATAATCGATTTACGACAATATTTGGAGCACTTATCAGCGCAAACAAACATGAAGTTATTAACTACAGATGCGGCATTAGGTTCTTTATAAATATCAATCCTTGTATTTTATTTTTAGAGGGTGATTGTGGTTTCCTTGCCGCCAATTTCTGTGCTCATTCAATTTTTGGAGAAGACGCGTTGGCGAATGTAAGCATTGAGAAATCTGACCCATTAGATACTAATAGTCCAATCATTGGACATATTCGCATACGAGCAAAATCGCAAGGAATGGCGCTTTCACTTGGAGACAAGGTAAACATTTTAAATTAATTTTAGAAAACAAAAAGTGAGAAATTAAATTTTTTATTATTATCATCAGATAAATCACGCCCAGAAGGAGCGAAAACCAGTGGAGCGCTCAAAGGCCGTTTCTTCAGCCTGAATTAGTTGTGAATCCATAATACATATTTTATTCTAGATGCTTTCTCCTTCAAGTTTTCAGATTTCTATGGACACTAGAGATGTTTAACCGAATATTTCAGTAAATAACTTTACATATCATTTCCCATTTTATAATTTTCTGTCATCATCATCTTTTGTCCATATGAATTTTTATTTCTAATAACTAAATAATTTATATATTGTTTCTGTGCAAATGATTTTTTTGTATTGTTAATGATTTTACGAAAATAAATAAATGCTTTTGAGGAAAGAGGACACTTTTTTTAAAATATTCCTTTTCCGCTGGATGTCTAACTTCGCTCTTTAGGCGGGGTATGACTATCAAGTAGGAACATTTTGTTGCAAATGGTTTCTTTATTAAATATTTACATAGGCTGTTTTCACGTTCAAAGAAGGCTTTGAGGGACGAAGATAAATTCAACCACGCACCTACATTATTAAGGATATGCAAAAAACATCAAACAAAAAACTAACCCTACCGAATTTGATGTTAGGAATTTGGAAAAATTAAAAAGGAAAATTTGGCTCTAATTTGATTGCTTGGCATTGTGCCTAATTCTTGGCATTGTGCCTAATAATTTTTGACTGTTTTTTTTATAATTTTTGTATGTTTCGTTTATAATTTTTCTCTGATTGTTAGTGGCCTTTCTATAAGGTCCTTTTCAGTGAATAAATAAATAATTTGATATTTGTCCAAAATGTCCACTAATCTTCTTTGTCTCGTACGCGTACATGAATTTGAATTTATTGTTAAGTTTCATTTGGGAACTTGTGTCAAATTTTAAAAAAGGGATTTATACATTCCACCTTTCGTTATCACTCTTTCACATTTCTTTATTTTTCTAAATAAATTTTAGTGGTTATTTTAAAAATGTATTTGATTCCTGTTGAAATTGAATTCCCTCCGGTCATTCATGGTCGATATAGCCAATCAAAGGTGGAGGAATTGGAGAGAGAACGGTAGAGGGTTTTTACATTTGTTTAACTTTAGTCTTTATTTTTTATATTTAGTAACTTCGAAGTATTGGAGCCTGATGAGGAATTTCAAAATGACGAGCGCGAGATGAAAACAATTCCGCTGGAATACATAAGCGATGAAGAGAATGATAATGTTGAAGAGAATGAGGAAAGCAATGAAGGAAATAACAACGAGGAAGATGAGAGTTGTAACTACCAAGAAGAGAATGTTGTGAATAACCTTCCGAGTAGTTCACAAATTTGTACAAGTAATTTGCTTTTGTGTAACATGAAAATATTTATTTAAATTTTTAAGCTCCACGTTTACATTACGGTTATTTGCCGCCTTCCAATCAACCAAGCGGTCTCAAATCAATTCTTAAGAATAGTCGGTCGCGTGAAAGGAGCGTCTATATTGGGACCGAAAGATGTTTGTTTTTTTTAATTTTTATATTTTACAATTTTTAATTTACAGCTAATCCAACTCTTCCAACAACCAGCAAGTATTCTCGCACCAATAATAATGATGGAGATGATGAGAGCGATGATTTAGAAGAAATTGAATGCGTTAAATATATCAAGAAGCCACGTTCAAGTCCGCCGCCTAGCCCAACTGGTTCTGAAGTGGATTTGGCAATTGCTTATAAAAATAATTTGAGTGGATAATTTGAAAAGTTTATTTTATTTTTTGTCGTGCAAGAACATTTTTTTGTTATTTTTTAATTATTTGATATATTCTGGTAAAGATAAAAATTGTGTAAGTGGAATTCTGCAACTGGAAGGGGTATCAAGAATATTTTTTGACTTTCAAAGGTTGTGTGGCCTTTAAGATTTTTAGTTTGCCATTTAACAATAGATGACTGTGATAGATAATTTTTATTCGAAATAAGATTTTTACAAAAGAAAAGTTGAAAAAAAAGTCTGAAAGAAAATTATTTGTATCAAGAATATTTTTTATCTTATAAAAATTTTTTAAAATATTTTAATTTTCCCGATACAATTACTATATTTTATGGATTTTATTTTTATATAAGTATATGTGGTTAAATGAGTAAAAGAAATTAGTGTCTTGAGTACAGTACTTGTATAAGCTTTAATCCAACTTTCATGGATTTTAATGAAAATAAATTCTGTGCTCATTTTTTGGTATAAAAGAAAGTTATGGCTACAATTTCGAAAAATGTTTCGCAGTTTTTTATGTTGTGGTGGTTATATTTAAAAATATTTTAGAAATGCTTTGAATCAGGGCTTGGATTAACACGAAAAGCAAAATTAAAGTAAATAAAAATAATTTTCCAAATAACTTTAATTAAAGTACAATTTCTAAAGTTTCAGAGCTGATTTTAAATTACAGCAATTTCATTAAAATTCTAATCCTAGCCCTGTTTAAATAAAGTTGTGGTATATTAAATATATAAAATAAATGAAAATAAAATTAAATGCTCAGAAAGATTGCTAAATAGAAAACAGTAAATATTTTAGAAAATAATATAAGGGGCCAAGAATAAATTGTGCCAAGACTGAGGTAAAAGAGAATTAAAACTAAAGGAATTTGGTAATTATTTTTTAGATTATTTAAATTATTTAGCAATCTTTTTTAAATAAAAATGACTATAAAAAATATATTAAAATTTGATAATAGTATTTTTGATGGGTCGGATTCAATTTATAATTAAATGTGAGATCGTTTAATAACCAATTGCGTGTATTTAAAAACTCTTCACAAATATATCAAAAATAGATATTTTTCAATAAAAATTTTTTATTTTAAACTCGATGTACTCCACCCTTTTTTGTGTGACCATTTGAAGGTCCAGGGGAAGAAGGTCCATCTAAAGTACTGTCATCCCATTCCAAACCAACTAAAAAATATTTTTTTTTAAATTTAATTTTTGTTTAGCACCTCCTTTACGAGACCCTTCATCAGCATGAGGCAAAACTAATTTCTCTTCATCACCGCCTTCATCATCACTATGCTCTACTCCTCTATAACTAAAAATGAATAAACAATTTTCTGATTTTATTTAAAAATTTCTGACCCTTCCCCTCCATCCTCAGAACCACTATCATCATCTTCATCATCGTCTTCATCATCATCCTCCTCATATTCAAGTCCATCGGCGGAAAATTGTTTCCCTCCAATTTCTTCTAACGGATTTACTGTAATATTCATTAATCCACTGTCATCCCATTCCAACTACATAATTTAAAAATTATTTTTTATATGAGATTTCTTTTAAATTTTACCATAGAATCACGACGTGAACGACGCCGTTTTGTTGTAAGTGGATGATCTCGCATTCTAAGTACTCCAATTACTAAAAGTACAAGTAGAACAGCAACACAAACAACTACAACAACAGCTACGGCACCACCTAAATTATTAAAAAGAAAATTAGAAATTTCGCTAGGTTTCCTCAACTCCGTTAAGGAATATTTTGCTTTAAAAATCAAAAACTAACCAGCAACAGCTCCCTGACCAACTTCATAACTATGATGTCCAAGCAATGCTTTAGGTCTAGGCATATCCATTTCCAGAATATTTTGAAGTCGATTAGCTCCAAGCTGGTCGTAACTAGGAACTCCTCCCAAATGATGAGTAACAATAGAAGAAGGAGATTCTTCTTCAATTAAATTATTTTCTCCCTTCTCTTTAGGCAAAATATCTTTATCTAATTTGTCAGAAATTTGAACTAATTTTTGTACAGCCTCATCAAGTTCTTCATTATTTTTGCCATTATTTACTGACACAGGAGTGGTGTCAATGCTCATTGTGGTAAAGAGCTCATTTGAAAGAATTTTACCGTCAAGTAGGGAACACTATAAAGAAAAGAAGGATTTTTTTATAAAAATGAGAAGGAATCAAATTTTGTTTGTTGTTTAGTTTTTTTAATAAATAATTCTGTTTTTATTTTATTAAAAAATATATGTTGGATATTCTCTGAAAAAAGGAAATAACAGGAAAGGGAAACAAACTCTCATTCCAAATACACATTAGAATAAAGGAATTTTTTGTTAAAATTAATAAAAAAATTTGCCTGAAGAGTATAGGAGCGATGTGGGAACGATTCTGGACGTAAATTAAAATATCTAATATGCTCCAAAACTTCTGCATAGGCAGAAGGGTGTTCAGCCCCTCTCAAAACAAATCCTTGTTTATCATGTACAAATTGTAATTCTAATTTTTCTAAGAGAAGAGTTGGAGAGGAAAATAGTTCCAAATCCATATCACGAGCAGGGCGCATATGTACTCGACACCAAGATAATTTATGGAAGGAAGATTTGTCTGCATTACCTGAAAATTTGGAAATTTAAAATATTAAAATTAAAATTCTCTCGGTTAAGATAGTTCTTTCTCTCTAATTAAACTCGTTTTTATTAGAAGCCCCTTACCTTCAGTAACAGTAATTTTAACATCAGGTAAAAGAGCAGCTCCATTTCTCATACTTTGCCTGTCAGCAAAAACTATATGTTTACCAGTAATAATTAATTGTGGATGAAATTGTCCTTTACTAACATCAATCTAATAAATTTAATTTTTAATTTATTAGATCCAAAATTTCAACTCACAATAGAATATATTGGAATTAAAAGTTTATTTAAATTATTTGGACATTTTAAAGTTCCAGAAATTTCAATTTTTCGTTTGCCAGAATTTGTGGAAGGAGAAATTCTTGTATTTCCAGAAAATAATTGGTCAATATTAAATTGTACAGAACGTAAAAGATGTTCCATTTCTGTTGGTGATTGTGCTTGTAAATGAAGAGAAGAAGACTGGATATTCTAAATAAATAAACATTTATTTATTTTTAAATTAAAAATAATTATTTTACTTTTCCATTAATTAATAATCCTTCATGTTTTCCATGTACACAATTGACAGCCTCAAAGCTTTGTACACGATTAATCCAAATACGCATTGATGCAAGATGCCCATTAAAGTGTTGAACCATTTGTTTTTGACGGCCATGCCAGCAGGCGCCAACAACGAGACGAGTTTTCTAAAAAACATTATTTTATTAGAAAATAGGAGGGGGAGGGAGTATTTCTAAATTGTTTCTAATATAATATTTAAGAAGTAATCAAAAATTAAATATATTTCCAAACTTTCCCTTCCATACCTTATCTTTAACTTGATGTAAAGGCCAATCATCAAGAATTTCAGGATTTCTTTGTGTTGAATTAAAAACTTTTCCATCAATAACTAATTGGACATTATCCAAATCATTAAACAAAAGTCCATAAGAATGCCAATTTCCATCACAAATCCGTTCATCATTCCAGCGCCATTCAGCAGCTCGAAATTCTGCACTAGCATCTTCGGGTTCTCTCCGAAGTAAAAGCTCCAATTTGCAATGACGTAAATAAACAGAAAAATGATGTCTATTTAATCCATTAGCATCAGATTCACAAAGAATATTTTGTTTTAAACGTTGTTGTTCTTCTGTTCCAGGATTTACCTTCATTGAAAAGAGAAGGCTAAATCTTTCAGGAATTGCTTGTGGTAATCGTGATTCGACAATATCAATCTACAATTAAATTAATTTTTAAATTTTATTTTAACTCGAATTTAAAAATATTTATATTCATAGAAAGGAGAAATTTGAAAATGAGAGAGTACATATATTAGTTGAATAACCCTAAATTCGCTAAAAAGGAAGGTACTGTAGATACCAAAGGGAAACAGAACTAGAAACTTTTCTAAAAACTTTTAAAATTTTCAAAAATAGTAAATGCTTACACTTCTTTTTCCATCAAAAAGAGTATTTTTGTCTTCATTTACTTTTTCATTAATTTCATTTAAATCCTCCTCCTCCTCATCCTCATTATCTTCTTCCTCTGAAGATTCTTCTTTTTTTGTTTTATTTTTAAAAACAGGCCAATTACTGTCTTCAGACAATAATTCAATTAATCCCTCATCCATTCCACATTCATTAAATAATTCTTTATTTAAAGAATTTGAATGTTCTGATAAAATCTTTAATTCAGTTTCTATCTGACATTTTTCATTTAAATTATCACAAATATTTATTTCAGCATCTGGAAGTAAATATTTTGGATTATCTCCTTGAACAAAATTTATTGGAATTTTTGCTGTTATTGAATTAATAGAATCAACACATTTTGGACGAATATTGACTGTTACAAGTACTGATTTTGAACGACGCTTAAAGTTGAGTGAGAAATGTGTTTTTTAAACAAAAGAATGTTACTTACCATTCCACAATCTTCAGCTATAACAGTCAAAATATGTGATTGTGCTTGTGAACGATTTAATGGACGAATAGCTGAAAGAACTCCTCTATCGTCTATATGAAATGGATTGTCCGAAAGTGTATTTGTTAGTTCATAACGACAAATCTGTTTTAAAGAAAAATATTTTTTTAGAAAATGTGGAATATTTGTAGTGAGAAATGCGAGGGAAAATATTAAAATCTTATCCGAAAATATCTTACAAATTTCTTTTTGTTTTCTAAATAGAATCTAGATATCCCAATATCAATAATTTCAAAAAAATATTTTTTCATTACCTTTCCATAAGGATGTCCACAATCTAAATCAGTAGCTAATAATCGAGCAATCTCAAAAGGTGCTTCCCTTCCTTCATCTACATCAAAGGAATACCAAGGAGCATCAAATTCAGGGGAATGGTCATTAACATCTTGTACAATAATTTTTAATTTAGTAATTTCACTCTTTGCTGGAGGTTCATCTCCACATTTAACAGCCTCTAGCCTCAACAAATAATCTGAACGATGAGCACAATCAAGTGGAGTAAAAGAAGAAGAAGGAATATTTAAACGACGAATTTGTGCTAAACCTTCTGAAGCATCAAGTATTTTAACTTCAAAAGGAATTGGCTCAGTTAAAGAATCATCAGCCCAATTTAATTCATAACGACATATTGGACCTTTAAAAGAATTAATTTAAAATTTTATTTCCTTTTTTTCTTTTCTAAAATTTTCACCAGTTCCATGTAATATTCGTAATTGAGGAGAAACATTAACTAAATGTTCATCTTCTCGAATTGTTCCAATTAATTCTTCAGCTCCGTTTAAATCAATTATTGGTACTCGAGAATGAAAATGTTTATGTCGTCCAAAACAAAAAGAGGAAATTGTTAAGAGAAATAAAATAAAGGTATTGAATAAATGAGGAATACCACCACCCATTTCTAATTTAATTTTTGGGTACTAAAAATAATTTAAAAAAATATGTAGATAATGTGTTATTTAAAAATAAAAAATATTTTTAAAAAGAACAAATAAACTATAATTTTTATATTATTTTTTAGATAAGAAAATATAAAATGGCAGATAAAATAAAAATTCTAAAAAGAAAATGCTTTAAAAAATATTTTTTTAAAAATTCTTGTGAGTCATTTAATGCATTAATATTGTGTTTAGTCATATAAGAAATGATTGGAAATAAAGAAAAAAATAAAATAAAAATTGAAAAATTGAAGTGATTGTCTAATCGAAATAAGAAAAGAATAAGAAGAGCTAAAGATTGCGCAAAAACAAGAATTGAAAGAATTGATTATTAATTAATTAATTAATTAAATAATTAAATATTAAACTTTTAAGTAAAGTTTGTAGTTAAGTATATTTCTTTAAAAATTTAAGTATAATTTAACAAAAAAAATTAAAAATATAATTAAGCTATTATTTTTAATTTTACAAATATCATAAATGACATTTAGTAAATGAAAAAATTTGTACTTCATATGCTCATGAGTTATGGCCAACAAAAAAGTTCATATGCCAAATTGACGTTTCTTTTAAGATAACAAAATTATGGAAGCCATAACTTTAAATATAATTTACACACATTTTTGTCTCTCTCAACACACTCAAGTGTTGGTTAAGCACAGAGGCAAAGAATTTTTTTTCACATTATAGAAATGTGTGTTCATTCATGGAATTTGCCTACTAATATTATATAGAAAAGTCTACACTTACAAGATAGTAGCTACTAGCTATATCTACATATGTAAATATTTTCACAAAGCTGCCAGCCGTTCGACAGCTTTTCAACGGCCTTGTCAATCCAAGAAAATACCTAACCCTGGAAAGTAAATGGCCTCTTTTTTTCATTTTACAAGAATGTGTTCCCTCTCTCGACTTTAAAAACTTTACCTTCCCCCAATATATGCTTGCGCGTTGTTCCGCGGTTTTCTAATCTATATAGTAATTCTCTTGTTAGAGTCCTTGCTTAAATAAAATTCCGTTTTCTTTCTTTAAATATTTTGTGTTTATTTGCGCAAAAAGAATTTTTTGTTTTAGCTAAAAAACTAATTTTTTTACTGCGCAAGAGATATAGTTGTAATATTCAAATTGGGATGGAGTACAATTTGTACTCCATCCTATTTGAATATTACTCTTCCGTTAACGTCAGTCCAGAACTACTTAAGTAATTTTCATGCCACTCTCATTTTAACGATAGAACCAGCGGCTTCTAAAGTTTCAGTCAATTTTTGAATAAAAATCACAAGGCAGATTGTAGATTTGGATCCAAGATGATAAATTTACTATCATTTTTCTAACAAATGAGGACGTTATACACTCTCTTTATAAGAGCGGGATAGTAAATGGATATAAACAATAAGTATATAATTTATGCCCTCAAGTTCATTTAAAATGATTAATTGCGGCACAAAATTGGCAATAAATAAACTAAAAGTTTTTTGGTAAATAGAAAAAAAAAATATAAAATTTTTAAAGAAAATTATTAAAAATATATTTTTATTAAAACATCTTCAAATAAAAAAAGTATGGGAAAGTTTTGGAGGATTGAATATTTATGAATAAATATATGTGTTCTTAGTATTAGATATCAAGAACAAACAGAAAAAAAAGTAAAGGATGATAATGACAGGAAGAAAAAAAAAGAAGAAAGGAATGAATTCCATATATATGAAACTAAAATATGCCACAAAAATGTGAGAAAAAATAATTAAAAAATATAAAGAAAATTAAAAAAAAAGTATACTATTATTAAAGAATATAAATATTAAATAAAAGGATTAGATATGTTAAAGAATATATATCAATTATCTTTATTAATTTCCTGTTGGTGTTTATTTTTTAAATTAAAAGAAAGTGTGTGGGAAGTATTAAATTATTTTAAATAATCTGTGGTTATTTTTTGATAGATTGAGGGGGAAGAATTGTGATTGAGGATTGAATGATTGAAGATAAAAAATTCAAAGAAAATCTTTTTGTGTTCATTTATTTGTTTTTAGAAATTTTACATTTAAATATTGAACATAAAAACGTTTAAAAAATATTTAATGACACAAAAATAAAAATGCCTAGGCACAGGTTGTGCCAATTTAAAACAGGAAGAGGTAAAAAGTGGTGAATAGAAAGGAAATTGCGAAGACTGCCAACAGTGAAGGGGGGGGGGAGGAGAAGGAATGACAAAACCCTCAATATATAAATATTTTCTTTTTTATTTTAAATAGTTGCCCAGATTAGAAGCCCCCTTTGGCCATATTTTTAAGGGAGATTAAAATATATTTTATAGAGAAACACAGCTGGGGCACACAAACAAAAAAAGCTTGAGGCCAATTTTATGTTAACCCATTATTTTTTAGTTTTATTTTTGCCAATACTTTTATGGGAAACTTTTAAGAAAAATGATATTTTAAGGATTTTATTGAGTAAATAAAAAATATTAAATAAAATAAAAGTTTTTGGTTAAAATAAATATTTATTCCTTTTCTCTCTTAATCTTTTTTCAATCCTAAAAAATATTTAAATATTGAAAAAATGAAGGGTAGAGAGAGAAAAGGCGCAGCTTTATTATTGACAGCTAAAATATATACAAATGTGCCTCTTATTTGTATTTGGCAAACAGAGAAAAAGCCAAAAAGCTTTGGACAGCCAAAAAGAATGAAATCGCGCTTGTGGTCGTTGCCAACGGCAACCCGTGTGGAATGAAAAAATATTGAAAAAAGGGAAGGAAAGAAGCCAAAATGAGGACAAAAATGGAGATCGGTCCTTGTCGGATTGGCAATAAAACGAATTCTCTAAAAATGTAGAGCAAGGAAAAGGAATTTTTCAAATTTAAGATCTAATTGAAAAAAGTATTTTCATACAGTCAATCCTTCTAAGTTTCAACTCTATTTAGGCACAGATGAGAGTTCTAGGTACATTCTCAATTTACGGTATTTTTTAAAATTATTAATGAGGGCGGCCTAATCGACAACCCTAGGTACACCCTAAAATATAATTTTTTAGCACAAGTGCCTACAAATTTAAAGAATTCATTGCTTAAATTGTTTCGCGCAATTAAGTTTTCTGCACAAAACTTTAATGAAAATTAAATTTCCAATAAAGAAATACAAATAAAAAAAGATAACTGATATGTAGATAAATAATTTGCGTGCTAAAATAAAAATATTACTAGCAAATATTGCTAAAAATGTTAAAAAATTCTTAGAATTATTAGCTAAGTATTTATTAAAAAAATATTAAAATGTTAAAAATTCTTTAAAGAATTTTTAAAAAGATTTTCTCTAAAAAATTTAAAAAATATTAAAAAATATTTTATTTTAGTCTTTTATCTATTTAATTAAATTCATCCTGGGAGAAGATTGCTGCAAATTGTTGGATTTTTTTTCAAAAGAAGAAAGAGAATTTAAAGAAAATCTTTGGCCTACTTACATATTTTTATGTGTTCTTTGAAATATTTAATTTTATTCTTAGAAATATTTCTTTAAATAAATTTTTTTTCAAAAAAAGTAAAGGATATTTAGTTAATTTAAATAAAGGTTTATTTTTATTTTAGAAAGGGAAAAGTGTACAAAGTAGAATTATACTTTAAATATAATTAAATTAAAAATTTAACAGATAATAAATTAAAGATAACAAACAAAATTAAATAAAAATAATAAAATTAATTTAATTTAAAGAAAGAAAAGCTTTTTAAAACTTAAAAGTACTTAAATAGCTTAAGTAAAAACGCTACTTGTTTGTTCGTATTGCCTTTACCGCGTGAATTGTTTTGTGTTTAAAGCAAAATGTCAACAAGTATTAAAAGTAATCAAAGTGGATTGAAGTGGTTTTAGCTAAAAATGAGTGGGGGAAATTGGAAATAGACGGGATTTGGAAGGGAAGGAAAAATGGGAGGGGAAGGGGGAAGGATTTTAGAAAATAATTTTTTGTAATTTAATTTTTGAAAAGGGTTAGATATTTAAATATTTAATTTAATTAAAAAATATTTTTTTATTTAGATAATTAAATGGATTTTAAAAGTTTTTTTAATAATATTTAAAAATATAAACATTATTTTAAAACTTCAAAGAAGCAAGAGTTTATATACCTAGTCTACTACTAAATTATTTTTTACCAATTTTTTTTTCTACTTTTTAAATGCCAACCAAAAAATTACATATATTTTTGAGAAAAACAAAAATATAAATATATAGCCAGCCAGTTATTATATAGCTAACTTGTAGAAAATAAAATAGTAAAAAAGCCAGAAAAATAATTAGGCAAAATTGCACTCAACACTAAAAGGTTTGACAAAACGATCCCTTTGGGTATATAAAAAGTAAAAAAACTTTGGCGCGACTTTTTTTGGGTTAAAAATAGTAAAAAATAAAAAAAAAGAAAATTAATTATACAAAGAGTGAGGAAAAGGAGGAAATGAGAATGGAGGGGAGTTTTTAACATAATAAAAGTACTTCTACCTACTACATATATTATTTCTCAAAAAATGTCAGGAAATTAATTTAATATGGAAAGCGGGCAAAAAGTCTTGACAATAAAAAAATAAATGGAATTTAAAAATAATTTAGGTAAATTATTATTTAGAAATAATTATTTTTTGCAAAAAAGTATACAATTACATTTAGATTTACAAAAAAATATATACATAAAATTGGTAATTATAAATTAAATAAAAACTACCTAATTTTTAAAAAGGAAGATTAAGTTTTGGTATAAAACTATTTAGTGGAAGGAGGTAGGGGAGGGAGGGAGTATTTCCAATACTCCTTCCTGAAATTAAATAAATATAAAATATCCTTTCCCCCAACCTTTCTTTTATCTAAAATGTGTGTTTCTGACTAGGAAAAAGCTAATTTAGTCTAAAATGGAAATAATGAGCTTTGGTCATTTAAAGAAATTTAAACATGAAATTGTGAAATTAAATATATAAAAAT